GCTCAGCTGGGGCCCCACTCACCCGAGCACCTGCTCCTGCATGTGCCCTGCTCCCTCCTTCACCGGTGGGGCCTTGATCAGCACCTTCCCCAAAGACCCGCTGGGGAGCGAGCACGCCCCCCCAAGTCTTTTTTTCTTCCTCTGCCTATGATTAATGTTCATAGGCAACAACCTATTTTGTCATAGCTCATGAAAAACTCTGTGTCATACAAGTATACCTATTTCAAAGAACTCTTGATCTCTTAAATTGCATTTAACGTGTGATTAAGTCACTAATTGCAGCATAAATAGGAAACCATAAATAGTAAAAATTCTGTATGTACAGCTGATTTATTGCACCATAAAATGGCAAACCAGCCACAAGAATATTCAGCAAGTTATGTGGGAGTTCTTTTGGCTTGTTTGTATGGCACCATAATTGGAAAATATAGCATGTCCATGCGATGCTGTCAGCATCAACATAGGGGTGGGGGTTATCATCAAGACTGGGACAGCCCCAGTCCTGATGCTTAAATGGGTTGTCAGGAACCGGGTTACAAGGAGTCCCCCCCACTGGCAACTTAGTGACCCTCATTCCTGGCAGTCTTTCCTGCTGTTCTCTGCAGCCCCAAGGGAGGGCTGCACTATAAAGGCAAAGTACTTCGGACATTCTGATGCATGGGGACCCTGTATTGGGGAGAGACTCCCTAATCCTTGTGCACCAGGGATGTCAAAAAACTGCATGTACAGCTCAGATGAACACCCAGATTTTAGCCATTCACCAGGACTCCAGGATCGAGTAGAGGCTTGGGGGTCCCAGCAGGCAGTCTGTTTATTTGCAGGTGCCAGGTGGGGGAGCTTATTGACTGCCCCCACCCAGCACTTGTAAACCCATGCCCTGGGCTTCTTGCTGCTAGTAGCGTGATTGGGATCTGATCTCTGATCCCAACAATTGTGCCATCTGTCAAAAGGATATCCTCCTGCCATGCAGGAGGTATGAATATCCTTCTGCCATGTAGAAGGTATGATTAATGGGATCGCACATCAGATCATGGTGCACCATTAAGTGAATACCTGCTACCCCCCCCTTATTTTTTTTAACATTCACTTAACCATGTACTTCGTAGGGCAATTAACTTGGAGTTATCTCTGACCCTGGAATCTCCATTTCTCTTATTACAGTTTTGTGCTTGTCTGGCTGATTTATCACCTCTACAACATAGTCTGTCACTTCCTCAGCATACACATGAAAAATTTGTTTTTTGTGATTAAGTAATTGCACACCTTGATTACGATATTGCCCTCCTCACCCTCTTGTAGCTATCCTAGCCAAACTAAAGTCTACTAAGCCTGCTGTAATCTCACTCATACATATTTCCATGGTCTTGAAAAGCCTTTAATAATGAAGAATTACCATTTACTGGGTCAGACCTTATGTCCATCTTGCCCAGGATCATGTCTCTCATCCATTTATGTTGCATCCATTGATCCTTCCTGATCATGCCCATAATGGCCTCTGTATTCCCTTCTTTCTCCTCTGCTTTGACACTTTAGGTATTTTTTCAATTCTCTGTCCCCATTTTATGTTGAAAGTTGATCTTTTTCCTTAGCACCATCAGCTACCTGGAACAGTGTGCTTTATCTGTCATTCCTCCACTAATTTCTCATCCCTTCTAAAAATACCTTTTATAACTCATGCTATGCTGCCTATACTAGATTTTATTGACTAGTTCCCTGCAACTATATTTATTGTTATGAACCCTACATGTATCTCTTTGTCTTTTGGACAGTCAATCTCTCCAATTCTGGTTTTTTCATTGAAATGTATTGTGCATTGTGAAAATTATAAGAGTAATTTATTAGTGAGGCATCAAAGCTTACTTTCATAACTTTTATAACACACATTTGAAAGTAGGAAAGTTAGAGAAGTTTGAGCTTTCACAAAAACATTACTACCTTTTTAAAAGTCCAAGAGCTGCATTAATGTTTTAGTTTAATTAAATCACAGCTATTTTTTTAATGTGAAAAACACCTGAGTAATTTTCACCTCCTGAATAGGACAGCTCCATAAATATTTCTATATTCTAAACATACTCCTTTCATGTCCCTTACCTGTACTGCCATTTGTCACACATTGACTATATTAATTTCATTTTAATCAATACAGGCCATACAGAAATGACATTTTGTAAAATCATGAAAATGAAAACATCTTTAGTTAATAACATATCATGTTTACTCCATCACCTTGCACCTTGTGAAATTGGATAGGCCATGATTTAGGCAAACATTTAAATATGTGTTTAAATCAATCTATTTTCCAGAAAGCATTTAAACATTGAAACCACATTTCATTTTGTATAATTTAGGCCCAAGTATTTTCCTGAATGGAGGACTTTCCTAAATCAGGGCTTTAAATCTGTACAAAATAAATGTAAATTAGGTGTATGGCTACCAAATTAGAATGTTAGTTCTATGCCCCCTTTTGTACTCAGTAAAGGCCCAGATTTAGCCAAGCAAATTTAAGTACATTCTTAAATTTCTGTGTTAAGCAATGAGACTTAAGAACACATTTAAGGTGTTTACATGTTTATATCCTTTGCAGAATCAGGATGTAAATTACTACACAAGTTTCAAAGTATTGGAAAATCACTTTCTCAATTTAAATAGCGAGTACTAAATTGAAAATCTTACATTCAATTTCAGTTTTCAGTAATATAAAATCATTTTGAGCCCTAAATAAGAAAGACACAATAAAAAATCTAGTGATGAATCATCTGATTATGTTGTGACAGGAAGCAAAATTCAAATAATCAGAGAATATTCTATAACATATGAATTTCTTTCTGATTTTACTCTGATTTAAGAGTTGTTTAATTTTTTTCCTTGTAGTTGGTTATACAACTGATGATTTACGTTTTATTTGGCAATCTGGAGATCCTGTTCAGTTAGAGAAAATTGCTTTGCCTCAGTTTGACATTAAAAAGGAGGATATTGAATATGGTAACTGTACCAAATATTACAAAGGCACAGGTAGGTAATATTTAGAAACTTATTTGTTGAAAAATGTCAAGCTGCTTTAAGTTACTATGTATTGTCATTGGCTAACTGTCAAGTTTATAGTTTCTGTTTTGCATGAGAGAAAATTAGTAACATAGATTTTTAACTAATCAGTAATTTAAAATCAGAATAATACAGCAACAGTCAAATATAATAACCACAAACTAATTCAGAAATTGAGACATCTAATTAAGAGATCCTGATAAAAGGCTTTATTGGTTTTGTTTAAGTGTTTTCTGGTCCTCCAGGAGTCATTTCATTTCCAAAGTCTCAAGAAGAATTATTTAGGCCTGGAAGTGGCTTGTCTGTTCTAATTATCAATGTATCTAGAATTTCTCTCTTAAATTGTTTTAAACTTGGGACATTTTGGTTTCTTGAGTTTGTCAGATGTTATTTCAGAAATGGGTAATGCTTTATTATTAGTACTTCAAACTTTTTTTTGTGTAGCTTCTTGCTTTCTCTATGTGCTTTTGAAAACAAATCACTATGGCAAGAATTTATATTGTATTTGTACCTTTGCAATAGCATGATTATTTGCTGAAATCTAAGTACTACTGCTTTTTACAATGATGTCTGTAGTCTGGCTTCTAATGGTTTACCTATTGTTACCTCAATTAAACATTGTAGTACGCAGGAAACTGCTCACATCCAGATGCAATCATCTTTATTTTGCTTGGTTCCATTGTAGTTTATGGCTGTAAGTTGTAGAAAGCTCCCAACAAAATTTGCAGATGGTAGCTCCGATAATTGCTAAATGAAAGGGTCTTTTACTCTAGAGGTACTGTGGATCTACACCCTGTGTTTGGAGAGTTCTCAACTAATGTTAGTGAATCTTGGAACCATTAAAGTTAAAACTGGGTGAGATGGTCATTGTTTCAGCTTAGAGGGTGCAAACGTTCTTTACAGCTGTAATCAACTACAACAGGAGTAAATTCCTAACCTGGTATGTCTGCCTTAGGAAACATATTATTGCTAGTCAATTTATCATTTTTAAATATTATATAATTACTTCACACCTTCAACTGGTAAAATTATACAGTTGTAAAAGTTCAACTCACAATTACCTAGGCAATAATTGCGTTCAGGTATAAATTCATGTCAGATACAAATTTATGTAGAAGCCACAAAGTCATTTAATTCTTAAACAATTAAACAACACATTACTCAAAAATGGTAATAACCAGACTTTTAAAAATAAATTAAAAAAAAGAATTTGAGCTTGGGGTTTTTAGGATAGAATAAATCTTTATAGACAATGGGGAAACAGATGATGGTACACAAGAGACAGGCTTGTCTTATCGGAGGGACCGATTTGTATCCTATGCCTTTAAATTATTTGGCAAAGATGAGGGCAATCCGAGGGAATGCTATCCTAAATAAATTTGTTTTGATAACATGTTCAGAACATAGCTAAACATTATGTCTCTAGTGTCAATAAGAAGCAAAATAGTAGTGGTGTTCTCCCACGATCCACCATTTTTGATGGTATATTGAGATATTACTTAATGGAATATTGTACATGTCATCATAACATGTTCCTCCCTTTTCTTTCGTGTACAGTTTGATCATCAGTAAATGACTTAACAGTTAGAAATTTTCTGAAACTTTCTGAAAGTTTTCATTAAACTGTTGACTCATCTTTTTCTTGAAAATCAAAATGTTTTGTCATCTGGTAACAATGGATTTGCAATAATACAGTATATGCTGGAAATATTTGGCAGTTTCAAAGAAGGGTAGGGTTACCATATTTCCAGTTTCAAAAAAGAGGACACCGGTTGGAGGGAAGGGTATATGATTGTGAGGGGAGGGCAGTGATATGCTCATGCCCTGCCCCTACCCCTCACTTCCAAACCCAGTGCCCCTCCCATCCCTGCTGAAACCCCTCACTCCTGAGCTGCAGCTCCTTATCCATCATGCCCTGCTGGTGCTCCTCACTCCTGACTTGCAGCACCTACCCGAACCCTGCCAGTGCCCCTCACTCCTGACCTGCAGCTCTCTGTCCCTGCCAACACTGCTGCCATGCATCTCCTTGCTGCCCCCAAAGATCTTCCTCACCCCTTTCCCTAACTGGGAGAACAGACACATCTCTCCCCCTTCCCACCCTTCTGCAACCCCAGCTTCAGCAGGCACACATGCCCACACCCAGACAGTCTCCAGCCATGGCCCTCCAATCCCTGCTCCCCATAAATTTACCTGCCTGCAGCTGTCAGGGCTGTATGTAGAGCATGTGATGCCCAATTGTCCAATCGCCCTGTCCCCGCTCCTCCCAGCCCCAAGCATCTCCTTGCTGGGGTGAGCTGGGAAGTGCTAGGAAAGTAGAGGCAGAGCAAAATCCCAGACATTTCTTGATACTTTAAATAAACTGCCCAGATGGAGATGGGAGGACCCCAAAAGAAGACATGTCTGGGAAAACCCGGACATAAAATAACCTTTATTAATATAAGGTAAAAATGGATTGTGTTTCACCTCTTGCTGCTGAAGCTCTACATTTTAAGTTGCACTACAGCAGCTTCAAAATAAAAAGTAGCACTCCTTCTTAAGAGCCAGGTACAGACATTACACTTTTACTGGTATAAGTGAGCAGAAACCAGTCTATACCTGTAACAGAACAGAAATTTGGCACATAGGCTAGGGACAGACATTACACATAAACCAGTGTAAATGATCAGAAACTGGTTTAAACCTGTAACAGAACAGATATTCAGTGCACATGAACCAGTTTGAAAATATCTCACACCAGTTTCAGCCAAACCTGGTTGAATGTAGTATCAGACCTCTAACTGATTTGGGTCAGACTGGTTTATGCAATGTCTGTCCCAGACCCCTTGCTGGTTTAAGTTAAAGCAGACACCGCCAGCATCACAGCATGCTCTCTGGGCTGGGTGGGTCTCTCTGCTCCACAGCAGACCTGGCCCCTCCCCTCTGCTCCCTGGATGGAGTTCCAGCAAGGACTTGCAGGCTGCGCTCCACCCCCCCACCCCTCTACTCCCTGCTAAGCAGGTATACTTGCTGAGAGGTATCTGTGGATTAACTAGCAGACCCTGGCCCCAGTCCATACAGTGACAAAGGCAGAATCAACAGGTAGCTGGTAATATCCCTCTGTTGTTTTCTCAAACACCGAGTTAGGAGTGATAAACACTGTTAGCAATTCCCTGGTAGGCTAATCAGAGCATCCTGCCGGGCCTGGCCATGCTCCCTCTCAGCTCAGTACTGTGGAAGAGAAGGAAAGGCTGCTCTAGTGTCCCCCGGCTTCTAGCCTGAACCACTGCAGGCATGTGCCTGCATTTCTGGAATGAAAAGAATATGTATGTCCACCTCCAAATTGGTTTAAGCTTTGCAGATTAGATTAACCTGCAACGGTAGAATCAATTCAGGCTCAGGCTTTTTGAATGTCTGTCCTTAGCCATATAGACTGGTTTAAAAATGGTGGAACATGGTCTAAGATTCCACCCTCCCTGCCCCCACCAAAGGGCGAATGTAAGCTCTGTTTGCTATTGATCTAAACTATGCTGCTTACATATCTTAGATTGATTCCAACTCAGGCTTTTTTAATGTCTATACCTAGCCAAGATGTTCTGCAGCTATTATGTTCTTATTGTTACTGTGTATGAGCTGGAGCTGATGCAAATATACCTAAACCACTCCAATGTTAACCATGCTTCATACAGGCTCAAAGTTGAGGCAGTTTGTCTGTATTTGTAGGATCGATTTATGAATACATAACATTTATAGCGTAATGGCTGCTTAGTGGGCCTGAGCAGCAGCTCACTTTGCCCTTTGGAAGCCATGACAAATGTATGTCTGTCCATATCCTAACTTCTGGTATAAACTGTAGTGGGACAACGTTTTCATTTAATATTGTTGAAAAGCATCTTGGAAATCTTTTTCCCTGTGATGGTGACAGAAAGCTCTGCCATGTGATTTGTACACTGATATATTAGCAGAGACTATTGGTGCACATGCAGGGTTGGCCTGAGGGGGCTATGCTACTTATTTAAGTGGAAGCAACTGCAGAACAAATACAGCATGACTCAGTTTGGGACTAAGTGAGCACTACAAGCATTTCTTTAGTCCCACATTTAAATAAGCCTAAACCCATATCTGCACCAGTCAGAGTTTAAGTTTAGGCGATTGTCTCTTTAAATTTTGTACTGAGCTAAAAATGTCTGTCTCTGAACTTTCATTATTGTAGAACTTTTATTTAGGCCATGGTTAGGCCTCCTCTTTTTCTAATCCTCCCAATCTTTATTTAACCTTTATTTTAATAACTGAGTCCTTCCTTTACCCAAGATAGCTAATGGGTGTGATTTTGTAAATAAGCCTAAGGGATTTGGTGCTTAAACTTCATTAAAATTCAAGGAGAATTGGGCACCTAGCTCTCAGAGACTCTTTGGAGTGTAACTTCTAGCCAATGCCCATGCATTGTGCTTCTTTTGAAATACAGTAGTATATTTTTCAGTTCTCCTTCTTTCAGCTGGTTTTGCTCTATGTACAATTCTGAATCCATATCCCTGCAGGAATAACTGCTGGCAAGAGCAAGATAGCACTCTGGATTTCCATGTCTTTCTACAGGGAAATGTAGACATTGGCTTAGTAGTGTGCACTTTGATTCTTCTGTGCTGTAAGAATGCAGATACAACAGACTGATCTTGAGTTGTGGCTTTCTTTTTCCTTTAGGTGTTATAACTTTTATAGGCAAGCTTCAATCACTTGATTTTAATTGAATACTTTGTCATTTGAATAATGTCAATTGATTTCAAACTTTAAAGGACATTACTGAAGTCAGTGGTAAAATTGACTTGAGAACAGAAACCTGACTCGTTCTAAGGTTTTCTAATCTGAAAAGGTTAGCTTGTAAAACACTTAGAACATTAATGCATTTATTTCTTTAAAGGTTATTACACTTGTGTAGAAGTAATCTTCACTTTAAGACGACAAGTTGGATTTTACATGATGGGTGTTTATGCTCCTACACTGCTAATTGTTGTTCTGTCCTGGCTGTCATTTTGGATCAATCCTGATGCAAGTGCTGCAAGAGTCCCATTGGGTAACCCACATTTACACCTACTGTCACAACTCACTTAGCACCACTTTGCCATTTTCAGTTGCTTTAATAACAAATGAGTGGACATTGAAAGCAACTTCACTCTCATTGCATGGTCTTCATTTTCATTGAAACATCATTTCCAGCCCAATAAAAGACATCTCTACATTCAGGGTTTTGGTTAATAGAAGATCTGGTGTTTAGACAGTGGGCACATTTTCTATTTGGGCCATCTAAATTAGTGTTTGGACAAAAAAGTTATGATATACCTATTTTCTATATCTGGAAAACATTTTTCCTTTAATCTTATCCATATATAGTAAATGCTAGAAATAGTAAGTGAATAGGCACCTGATAGAAACTTGAATCCTGAAATAAAAAATGGCTAGCCAAGATGATATTATAACTAAGAATAGCTACTTCATGCAGCAGTTGTCTGAAAAGTAAAGAACAATGTGTGAACAATACTGTTTTGAGAGGAATGAGCAGTCACTGTTATCAGATATTCTTATCAGGTGACTATGATAGCAATTCAACATCATGCTGAAGTCTAGCCTGTTTAGTAAAATGCTTAAGCACTTGGACTTCCATTTAACGTGCTTAAGGAATTTTCTGAATTGAAGCATAAAACAAGTCTTTAGAACTGCTTCTGCTTCTGTTGAAATCAAAGGCTGTGTTCACACAAGCATGGATGTTTGGTTCCCCAGGGACAACTAGCAGCAGGACACCTTGTGCTGCTGCTGCTGGTTGTCCCCGGGGAATGCCTGGGCTACGTGCCCTCTGATGTGCAGCAGGTTTACCCTAGGTAGGGTAAGGGAGGCTGGGGCTAACACTGTGCTGGTCACAGCAGCCTTACTTGGGGGCTTCCTGGGGCTGCAGCAGTCACGATCCTGATGCTTGGAGTCTGGCCAGCAGCTTGAGTGTGGGTTTAGCCAACCAGGCTCCAGTTTTAAGTGGTGCATGCTACCCCCAAATGCACCGCTCTGTTTTGCCTGGGTTTTTTTGGACCCCTGGATATCCAAGGGTAAAGAAACAAACCCCTATGCTGCTCCCTTGCAGTGTGGAGAACAGATGAATGTGCAGTATGTGGTGCTGCAGACATGTCTACAGTGCCATATACCACATGGTCATGCTCATCTAGACGTGGCCTATGAGAACAATCCTCTGATTTCACTGGGAGCAGAAGCATGTTCCCTATTTGCTACTAGGCAAAAGGGGCATAGATTTAATATTCTTAATAAAGAATCACCCTGACTAATTACATTGTGCATAATAATGTGTTGTGTTAAAATTAAAATATAAATTATATATATTTATAGTTTTTACTGTCTCTTTTTACAAAGGAGCATTTAAGAAGAGACGTCACATGCATATGCTTTTCCCTTTCCTTTTTCACTTGTCTTTTTAAAAATACTGATAACTGTTTGGCTAGGAATCCTAGTCTATTTTAGGTTGAGAGCAAGCAGAGCATGCAACAATGAGTCTTACTGCGGTATTTCTGTGTTAACTGCATTCACAATGTTATAATATTGTGTAACTCAGTTTACTTCATTAGCCTGTGCAGAGAATGAAAAGTTAACTGCCGGGGCTGGCTAAGTGTAGAATGAGACAAAATGGACTGTTAGCATCAACACAGTCTTAAATGGCTTTGTTGACATATCAAGACAGGTGAAATGCTGGATATCCAGGAGGTATCCTGAAGAAATAAGCATGACATGGGATAGCAGGATGGAAAAAAGCATCCTGGCAACTCCTGGCCAGAAAAAACTGGAGGGCTGAGAGAAGTAGAGGAGCTTTGGGGATCTGTAGAGCTGGGAAAAGGGAAATAGTTTTGGGGGTGTTTTGGGCTGTGCAGGCTAGATTAGCAGTGGAGGGATTGCTGACCCCTTTTGGAGGGGATAAAGAACCTCTGGCTGGGTGGCCTTTGCCCCAGGAAATGCATTTTCTGAAGAGACTGTCTTCTGTGTACTGCTTGGGACTGGGGGCTATAGTGGGTCTCCCCAAAGGTGGCAAAGCCTCTCTCTCTGGAGCAAACCTGGATGCTTACTCTTTGAGTCAGAGCCATAGAGAACCAGGGAGGGTAAGGGACCAAAATGCCAGAATTTCAAAGTGGGAAGAAGCACAGGTTTCCATCTTCCTCTAGAAACCAAGCTTGGGCTGGGTTTGGGGGGCTCTGTTAGAGAACAGACAAGGCTGTAGTGGTCCCAAACAAACACAGAAGGCACTCTGTGATATAAGGTTATAGTAACAGTTGTCCATATAAAGAAAATTATATTGAGTGTTTCGTGTCGAGAAATCGGAGACAACTAGTAAAGCAGGACTAATAGGTGCTGTCTTCTACCATCTGCATGGGGACAAGGCTTGGGGAACAGTTTCGCCAGATCTTAAGAAATTGCTTCTTGGAACAGCTTGCTCCTGAACTCGAAAGAGGAGAAGGTACTCTTGACTCACCCCTAAAGTAACACACTGGAATTACTTCTAGAAAAAAGTGTAACTGGGACACTCATTTCTATGGCTGGGACTTTCAGAGGTGTTCAAGTGAATAAGAAACATAAAATGCTTTGAAAGCCAACAATGAAAAGATGGTTAATATATGAATTAGTGATCTGGAAAAAGAGGTTTGGAGAAGATTGTTTTTTTCCTTAGTGAACACATAGGCAAGGGGGGAAGAGAAACTTTTAGAAAGAAGGCATTTCTCCAAGCCAAAGGACAGAAGTTTCATCAATAGGAAGAGAAGGCATAGAAGGAGTGGGTGGAAAGTGTGGAAAATAAAATTTGCCCCCCTTAAGGATCTGAACCAAATCCACAGAAAGGGGGTAAAGGTGGATTAAGTGGAATTGCATTCAGGAATTGGTTTTCAAAGATCTGAAACCTTTGTACTTTGTAAGAGTAAAATGTGTGTATGTGTGTAGTGCTTAAGAAACTCCTTCTATACACCTATGCTTCCTTGCTTTATTGTTTGTTGTCTCTAAAGGCTATGACTAGGGAAATTAGAGGGCCCAGAACCAGGATGCAGGTTAACTGTTTCTAAGCAACTGGGGACTCAGAGAGGCTAAGATAGTGGTTCTCAGCTTTTCTAGACTCAAGGCACCCCTTGGAAAATGCCAGCTCTTAGTTTTCACTTCCTTTGACTATGGAAAATAAGACAGGAATTTGTCTGTTGCAAAGAACTCAGAAAGACCACAGCACATCAAAATGTTTTTGTTGCTGTGGATTCCTATGTGAAATCTTTGGCCACGTCCAGATGAACGCACCAGAGACACTTCTGCAGCATCCCATACTGCATGTTCAGCTGTTCTCCACATTGCAAGGGAGCAGTGCAGGGGGTGGGGGAGGGAGCAACCCCTGGATATCCAGGGGTCAAAAAAACCTGCTAAAAAAAAGCAGCAGGGTGGCACATGCACTGCTCAAAACCAGAGCCTGGCTGGCTGGACCCACGCTTCAGCTGCCAGCCAGACTCTGAGTAGCATGATCACCACTGCTGCAATCCCAGGAGGCCCCCTGGATTCCAGGTAAGGCTGTTGGGGCCAGCCAAGTGCCAGCCCCAGCCTCCCATCCCCTACCTGAGAGAACCTGCCATGCACTAGAGGGCACATGGCACAGGCATTCCCTGGGGACAACTAGCAGTGGCACAGGGTGCACCGTTGCTAGTTGTCCCAGGGCAACCAAACATCCAGGCTCGTCTGGATGCAGCCTTTGGATTTATCTTTGTGAATCATATATAGATGTTTGGGTTTATCTTGTGAATCATATGCAGCACCCAGGTTTGGAAATCACTAATCTAAGACTTCGCTCCAAATGTAGAGACAGCCAGACTGCAAGGTCCCACTACCCAAGAAAGCTGTCAGGTCATTGGTCTTTGCATACAGGGAGTCTGCCTGACTGACCTACAGGTTTGTCAATGATTAGTCACTACCCAGAGCTGGAACCTTAGTAGAACATGAGATTCTACAACACAACAGTCTGGTATCCATTAAGACAGTAAGACTGGACAAAATTTTCAGGTTACATAAGATTTAGGGTATATTAGAATTAGAGATGTCCGAAGAACTGCAGAGTAGCTTTGTACAGCTACAGAAATTAGTAGCATGATGGCAAATTAATTTTGACAAATGCTAGGTCATACACACTGAAAGAGGAATATGAACAGTTCATATTCATGAGTTATTCATGAGATATAGCCATTCTGCTCCTGGCTATAAAGCAAAAACTAACTGGCAAGAATTAAGAATCAATGTCTATAAACAAGTTGTTCCATTACTGTCTGTTAAAAATATAAAAATATATCTAATATTATGTATCTATATCTATATATATCACTTCTGAGTTTATTTTTTTCTCCCTAGTCATGATCTACTTGGTTTTTGACTAGTATAGGTAGGTGTCAAATACATCAACACAGAAAGGTGCTCTTACAAATCTGCTCTCAGGTTTTCTGAAGTGATGCCAGTTTTGATTTTGCACTGAAAGGTTACTTAATGGAATATTTCTTTTTCTCTGTCTGCTTATATTTTTTCTTGAAATCTTGTGTGATTTTTTTTTTTAAAAGTTTATCTCATTCTGAGACTAAACTTTCTACCCCAGACATAGAGATAAGTGGGAACTAGCAGCAGGTTACAGTGACCTCAACTGCCCTATTGAACAAAGTGATGACAGATCTACTGTAAACTTTTCACTCAGTGGGATTTGCAAGTCAGATTCAAACTTGAAATCCAAGTTCGCAAGTTCCAACATTTTAAGTAACTTTGGGCAGTGACTATACAAAGCTGAATAAGTTTTCAAGAAATATGTATTAATAGCACAACAACAACAATGCTACTACTACTAATAATAGGCCAACAAAAATTACTTTCTACAACAGTGATGAAAAATATGCAGTTACAAAGAGATTTTCATTAATCTGTGGTTGTGGCCTCCTTGGCTGCTAGTTGATTCAGGTTTGGAATTGATGTTGATTTTAAGGGCTTCTGAATAGACATGCATGGGTGTATTAAGCAATACATTTTGTAAAGAATGAAAAGTAAATTGGAAGTAGATATTCAAGATAAGGTTCTCCTTATGTAGGGATTTTTCATATTCAGTCTTGGCCCAGGTATATCAGTCTGATAGCTCACAACTCAGTAAGTCAGGAAATGCATTATACTATTGGAAAAATAGGAGTTCTTGACTATGTAACACTATAATGATATTACCTATTTCTAGATAATGTATCTAGGATATTTGAACTTTATATACCATTGGTGTCATCATTATGCTTTAGTCCTCTTCATTTTAGCAGCTAATATCTGACAAACTTCCAGTGTTAAATTAGTGCCATCCAGAATACTAAATAAAGTGTTAGGAAACAGCAGTATCAAGTGTTTACAGTTATTGATATACTGGCTTGATCAATCTTATCAAAATCTGAGTGGTACTATTAAAGTCTGATGTTAGACTTAAACAGTGTGATGGACTAATGCAAATATTTTCAGTATCATTAAAATGTTCCAGGCATTAGTCCTGGATAAGGGATCAGAAAAGAAGTATTCATGTTTGAACTATCAATACTTTTTCATAAATTGGACAATACATGCAATCAACCTAAAGGAGATAATTAGATGCTTCTGCTGAAGGCCAAATTTTGCACTCATTTACATTCATATAGCCTCATTAACTTCAGCCAGTCTTCTCAGGTGCAACCAAGGAAAGAATTATACCATTAGTGTTCATAAAACTAAACCCAGGAGTTATGAATATGGGAGATGAAAGTGAACGTGTCTTGTTTGACAACCAGTGAAAGAATTATCCTTTTCCAAACATGACTGTATGTAGATATGCAACACTGCAGGCAGCTCCTCTTTTTAGGTGATTTCTACATTTTGCCATTTGTGAAATGAGCATCGTGATACTGCCAAGCTTTGGAAATCTTTTAGGAAAGCAGTGCTCATTAGAGCCATACAAGAGGCCTCCCACATCATTGGGTCTTTCATGATGAGTTTATAAATGGCTGTATAGCCCTCAATCACCCCAGTTCCTTCCATTTCACAAATAATTGTGGATTCACTGGCTTCTTCTCTGGATCAGAAGGAATGTTTTCTCTCTATCTAAACATGTTACACTAAGCAACAGATCATATTAAGTATTTTTTATTTTAAGTATGCTCTATGCTATGAAAAATACAGATTCCTAGGACATCTCTGGCTGAGTTCTAGTCATGATGTCTGGTCCAAAAGATGTGGAAGAAAGGACCAGGTTAAAATAGCATATTTATTTCATATCCTTCCATCTTCCCAGAGCTACATGCACCTTGTTCTGATATGTTTGATATATCTTATGCAAAACCATTTCCTAGTTGTTGCATGTGTATGTGTGTGTGCCCATATCGAGAATTCAGCACATTTGTGTCTATTTGCTTATTTATGAAAATGAATATACTAGCATATGTTCAGATTTAATATTAATTAAATTGTGTTTGAATGTTAAGTGCAGTGTAAATGTTATATAGGTGTTAGTGTATGCATTGTATATGTATCCAGTGAACAGTCATCTCTTGCATAATATACTCATTAAATTCCATTCACTGTTAAGAAAAGTCATCAGTTAAAACCTGATAGCATATATGTTTTAGGGGAAGGGCACCAAATGATAGGTTTTCATTAGTTAATATCTATTTTTACTGTTTGTAGGTATCTTCTCAGTGCTCAGCTTGGCATCCGAATGTACTACTCTTGCGGCTGAACTCCCCAAAGTGTCCTACGTGAAGGCCTTAGATGTTTGGTTGATTGTTTGCCTCCTGTTCGGGTTTGCTTCGCTGGTTGAGTATGCAGTGGTTCAAGTAATGCTGAACAATCCAAAGAAAATTGAAGCTGAAAAAGCAAAAATTGCCAAGGCAGAGCAAGCAGATGGGAAAGGTGGAAATGCAGCCAAAAAAAATACAGTGAATGGAACAGGCACTCCTGTCCACATCAGCACTTTACAGGTAAGAGCTGTAAAGTTATACTAGCAAGTCGGGCTCTATGTAATCCTTGTTATTTCAGAGATATATTATTTTTAATTCTGGATAATGCTTAAACTTAGATATAGCAAGGGCAGTTAACTTGGTTATACCATGATCATTTATGGACAGCATTCTGAACAACTGGCCCCAAGTGACTTGGCTTCTTGTTCTCTGCTGAAAAGCTCAAGGGACTTTTTTGTTGCTGTTTCTTTTTTTTTAATGTGCTAGTATAATGCCAGCTGCTGGGTTCCAGGTAAATCAATGGCCAGCATCTTGATGTCTAATTAATAGCTGTCAAATTGGGTTTAATTCAGAAGACAATGATTCTAGTAAGGATTGTTGAGAATGTTCTCAAATTAGGCTAGTTTTATTATTTTACTTGAAATGCAGTGACACAGAGTATTATATAAAGAATATTTATTCCCAGAGATCCAGAAGTCCAGGCATTTGTATATAGGAGAAATATGTGCCTGCTTGTTACCCTTCTGCTTGTGCTGCAGGGCTCATGAAGAAATCTATTCAGTTTCCTAGTAGGATTAAAGATCATATGTGGACTGGCTTGTGCCAAAGTTTTTAATATTGGTGCTGGCTTCCTACTGCAGTAACATCATCTGTTTTTGGTAAAAGAGTTATAGACAACACAGGCCAACCCCCACCAGTCCTAAATGATATTTAATTGATGCATATTTTTCAGCAGAGACTATTTTGATGTTAATGGAGTTAACATAAGACACCAATTTAGCTCTCAACATCCAATGACTGAACAATTTAGATATGCAAAATAAGGATATTAAGCCAGATCTGAGCCCCTGCTGTGTATCAGAATGATACAAAATGACTTTAAAGCTGCCTTGAGGAGGCATCAGAGGATCAGCTTGTGGGATATGATGACCTAGTAAGTTGGCATTCTCCAGGAAGTGAAGGAAACCTGCTGAGGATAAAATATGGTACACTTTGCCATATTCCAGCTGGTACTACAAACTCAAGTGAACACATTCTGTCAGAGCTAAGTTACAGCAACCTTCTGACTGTCCTAAATTGCACCTGGGACTAGTTCATCTCTTTCCCCAGTCAGCCCTGGACTTGGAGGAAAGGTTAAAAGTGGCACAGCAACACTTTTGCTTCTCTATTGCACTGAATTTTAAACAGCTAAGAATTATACCCTTGTTCTGAAGCACCTTTTCCTACAAAGCTATAATTTAGATGCAGCATTCCAGCAGAACAGTCAGTAATTTTTATTCTTTTTGTCAAAATATGTACACAGTTGTATCAGTGACAAGATTGTCACTTGACAATAATGTAACAGTGCTGCCAGCAAAAACAGAGGTATGTGATGGTCTATCCTAATAATTTATTCCTTTGGTTACATACACCATACTAGCTACACACAGTCCTTTTAATTGCCCAAAATACATGGAGTAACACAATTAGGATTTTTTTAATGATCATTTTGTAATTTGTTCTAAACTATCAGTATTCAACACAGGATTCTTAAAAGAATACATATAACCATGTGTTTTAGGGGTCTAAATAAATGTAAAACATTTCAAAGAAAGCCTTCCCGTTCCCACAATAGAATAATTGATGACCTGAAGGTTTATGCTCAAGTCTTGGATTTCCCCTCCAAAATCTGCATAAACCTGTTCTACATATCCTGCATTATGGAAACCTGAGAATGGCATTACATGTTTGAGACTGGACTGTTTTACTAGTGTATCCCCTGGGCTGTGAAGGACTTTTACCCACAAATACCTTTATTCTATTTATGGGAATACTATGTTCTGGATACAGTGCTACACTTGTAGCTTCTGCTGGTCAGAAAACAGGTGCACATAAAACATTGCTTTTGCTAAGAAATTTTAGAAGTACCTCCAAATTATACAAGAATCTTCACTTATTGTCAGATGGTCTTCTTTGTGGTTAGTAATGCCCTAGGTCCAGTGTTCTTTGATCCAAGGTGTAGGAACTGGATTTATGACCCAGACCCTTTAAAAACAGATGTTTGGGGACTGATAATCCCTGGAAAGAGCACCATAGTGAGCTAGGAAAAGAGGCCAGCTGACTGAGCCACATGACTCTTGGCTAGGAAGATACAGAGGAGTTCTATCAGCTCATTCTAGGGGACTGGAGAGTCAAATGCATGCGAATGGTAGAGAGAGGAGGTCATAATAAATGCATGTGTAAATACTCTTTATGTCCAAATGAAATACCTCCTTGTGATGTGATGGTTAATAGACTCTGAGATAAATCCACATGTTATGTGGTTGAAATGAAGAAAGGCTGAGCAGAGAGGAATCATCAAAGATGGCAGATAATATGGCCTATGTTTTAAAATAATATAAAATTAACTTATTATTCCATTTAAAGAGGGAAATGAATTTATTCCACTTAAATGTATATGTCTAGAAAATTTCAGAATTCAGCACCACATGCCATGTCTAGGAAAGTTATTAACTTCTCACAGATCACGCTAACACTTAATACTCCTACTGTAATCTACCTGGCAACAAATTACCCTCTCGCTCCCTCTAGTGGTTCATTATATTATCACTGGCATCTTTAATCTTGATACAAGAAGTGCTTGAGTCACTATCATCCTGTGTGTGCAGAAGAGCACAGTAATAGCAACCAGCCAAAGCATGCCAAACCATTTGCCTATAAAAGGCAGGTATGTAGCCACATAGTAATTAGTTGAGCAAAGAGTGTTCTCATTTTTATGCATGCGAATATTCTGTTCATATTAAATAAAACAGCCTTTCTCTGAGGTTCTGGGCACCCTTGAAATCTTTGAATACTCAGACCCAAACAATACTCTGTCCTACACAGAAATAGCAGTCTGTGGCATGCCTTTCTAGCCTCAGAATCCTGAGTACAGGAATAGGCTATGCAGCAAGCTCCTAAGTCAAATAGGTTGATGCTGCTTAGTGCTTATAGTGGAGGAAGAAAGCTAATTCCAAAGACAGGAGAGCTTCACCAGCATTGCCCTCCAAAGACAGGAGAGCTCTACCTAATTCCAAAGACAGGAGAACTCTATCAGCTCTACCAGCATCCCATTGCATGGATACACTTCAGATGTTTGGATTCACAGGTAAATTAGCAATGCCTTGTAATCAGTGCTGTTAAATGAAGCTAATAGATTTATTAAAAAGTTACCATGGGCACCCATATGCTTGAAAACATGAAAAGATTCAACATAAACACTAAAAAATTTTTTGCCAGTACAGAAAGTTCTAAGACCTAAATCTACAAAGAAGAAGTGATTATAAAAATATTCTTTTCCACCTTTACTTCAACAGCAAGTCTCTCTTGTTCTAAGTGTAAGGAAAAACAGTGGTAATCTTAGATGCAGCATTGTGGTAACTGTGTGAATTTGAACATTTTGCTGAGAGTCAACGTAGGAAGGTTCCCACCCGCCCACCTCCCGAATGGCATTATAAGATTTAAAAAATAAGGAAAAGCAGAACTATTTGTGAGATGAGTCAGTTTTCCCTTGCTGCCACTGGTGGTGTGATTTTAGAGTGAGATTACGTTGTTAACTTGAGCAAATCCTCCCGGATTTGAAAAGTCACATTTTCATCATGCCCATCTATAGAAGCCATCCCACATGTATAATATGCTGATGACTGAGCTGAACATTTGGTAAAAGAATAATGACTATGGCAGATGATGAATGGCTCTCTGAAGGTGATGATAACAGCCCAAAACCAGTCATTCTTAAAGAGAAATACTCATATTTCTTGGTTATCATGTCAGAACAATGCCTGGCATCTGATACCTATTATTTTCATCTGTACTGATTTATAATATATCGGACCTTTGGTGATCATTCATCTGATCCTTCTGTAGTGGTTTTTCCCTTCACGTATGTGTGTGCTTCCCGCTCAGAGATTTGTCTTCCAGAATCATTAGGTGCACATTTTTTATTTGTGATATGTAAGTACAGAGCTGGTTAGCTGTACCTTTTGCTGACTTCAAATCAAAGCAAGCCATGGGTACCTTGGGTTCTTCACATTGTATCTTTTGTGACATTACTCTTGGTACAGTCAGTCACATACTGTGTGGGAGGAAGAAACACTGTTACCATGGGGAACTTTAGTCTGTAAAATATATGTTGGAGGTCTCATGCTGCGTGTACTAAAATGTCCTTGAGATCACTAGAAATTATACTTATCAAATGTTCTATGTCAGAAACCACTGTATCGAGCATGGCAGATTTTAATCATCTTGAGAGACAATAGATAAATAGGAACTGAATACAGAATTAAAAGTGGTTGCTTAGATAAAAGCAACTGTGACTTGGTTACATTTATGTGCAAATAGAGTGAAAGTCCCTGCAAAATATATATTCAATACTGGATAAGGGCAAACTTCACAAATCTGAAAACAATTGTAAACAAAATCAGCTGAAAGGAGAATTTTAAATGAATGAAAAAATGTGAATGATCATTGGGACCTGTTTAAGGACATCTTAATAGATGCACAAAAAGGCATAATCAAGAAATAAACTTCCAGTGGATTGGGGGAAAGGGGAACAAAAGAAACAAAAAAATCCAACAGTCTGAACAGCCAGGGACTGACTTAGGAAGGTTAAGTAGCAGTAAAAAATTGACAGAAATGAATATAATATTGATTCTATTAATTATAGAAAAGTAATATTGAGAACAAAAGGCTTGCATATTTAAGAACAATGCAAAGGCCAAAAGGGACCCTATCAATAGGTATTAATGGTATCAAGTTTGTTGCTAGAGGGAAATGGTAGAATTGCCATTAATAGGGCAGAACTGGTCAATAAATATTTCCATTTTGTATTTAGGGAAATATCCAGATGATATGTTCTTATTGTATGATGATATTCTTTCCATTCCTACCCTAGCTAATAAGCTATTAAAGTCAAACAGTTTTAAATCGTCATGTCTGGTTAGGTTGTATCCAGGATTTTTAAAAGAGCTGGCCCAGGAGCCTTGTGAACCATTAAAGTTGATATTTAATAAGTCTTGGAAAATTGGGGAAGTTCCAGATGACTTCAATAAAGCTAATGTGCCTGTTTTTTAAACAAAGTAAATAGGATGACCTGAGTAATTATAGGCCTGACATCAATCTGAGCAAAATAAAAGAATGGCTGATATGGAACTTAATTAAAAAGAAGGATAATAAAATTAAAGCCAATGAACATAGGTATATGTAAAATAGATATCCTCTCATTTTTTTAAATAGATTTCTATGACATGGTAAGTTTGATAAAGATAATAGTGCTATGGTAGTATACTGATTTCTGAAAATCATTTGACGTGGTTTCATGCAGCATTTTGGTTAAGTAGTTAGAAGTTAAGAAACTGGAAACTCAAGTTGGTTTAGATGTGATATCATCTCAGTCTGTAAGTACCTATATAGGGAATAGAAATTTGATAACAGAAGGCACTTTCATTAGCAGCTAAAGGTATAATGAACTTTAACAGCAAATTGAAGCTAGGCAAATCCAAAATGGAAATAAGGTGCAAATTTTTAACAGCCGGGGTGAACAATTATTGGACTCACTTACCAATAATGGAGAATGGTTGTGGAGAATTTTCCATCAGTAGAGACTTTTAAAGCAAGCTTTAATGTTTGTCTAAAATATATGCTCTAATTTAACTACAGCTGGTGGACCTGAAGCAGTGTGGAAGTAGCGTGGCTTGTATAATACAGGAGGTCAGACTAGATGATTACAGTGGTTTCATTCTGGCTTAAAAAATATATAAGTCTTTTCTTAGAAACTTCTGAGTTTAGGCCCTATGTGTGATTTATTAAGATCCAGGGTGGAGAAAATATAAAATAGGTATATATGCCAAGGAATATATGTTTTAGTAAGAAGGTATTGATGTGCAAGGACTGGAAGTTGCCATAGAATCAGAGTCATAGAGAAGAAGGGCTGGAAGGGAGCTCCAGAGGTCATCTAGTCCAACTGCCTGCCTGAGGCAGGATCATCCCTATCCAAACCATCCCATACAAACCATAATCTAAACTCTACCTAAAACTGTGGTCAACTCTGACCCAACATAGAGCCTTAAATCTTTAAGACTTACTTTCTCTGTAAATCTTCAGTGTAATGGTCTAAATACCAAGCCCTTCGTAGCAGTTGACTTCTAAAGAAAATATCCTCTGTCTTCTGATAAGTTTACAGGAGTATTATGTGAATCCCAGATTTTCCAGGTATGGGGGAAGGGAGAGGGACAAAAGGCAAATGAGCATTTTTTAAAATGTACAAAGTCACCTCATTACCAGAAAATTGTAGGTATACTGGAGGGAATTTAGAGAAGAGCAACAAAAATACTTGGAAGTGGAAAGATTTATGAGAGAGGATTAAAAGCCTGGCTAAGCAATAGCTAAATGAGAAAATGGAAACAGTGCAAACCCCCTGGGAAAGAGCAATAATTAAGAGTGGTACAAGAAGTATAATTAGGAATAATATAATAAAATCACAAGGGGAAAATTTAGCCTGAGTATCAGACAAAAACTTCTTAAAAATGAGATTTGTTACAGTATGGAAAGGTCTCCAAAGCAGAGTAGTGCAAGCCCTATAAGGTGGTAGAGTAGTTAGAACTAGACAAGACAAAGTTATGCTCTGTTATTGTGGTGAACAATTGTACATTTGTTGGGACTAGATGACTTAATAATTTCTCCCAACTCCTTTGATTGCATGAGAATTGTTTTGAAAATGTGCTCAATGTGATGTTAATTTTTAATCTTGACAGTTCCACTGTTTGTTTGTTTTTTATATTTTTGTATTATTTTCTGGTGGCACCTATGTGTGCAAGGTACTGTGCACACACATAAGAGAGCTTGGTTGTCAGCCCCCTAAGTACATGATTTGTTCTGACGTGCAGGAATGTGTGGTATATCTGTTAATCAAACCTGAGTGTCTTTGATTATGTAGAATAGGAGTCAGACACTGTTCAGTGTAAATAGATTAATAATTACTGAAGAGAAATATATCCCAGATATTTTTAGCTAAAATATTTAAATTACAAGCTAAGTTACATTCCAATCATGCATATTACTTTTGCCATCTACATCTCCCAATGCAGATGCAATTAGATAGGTTTGTAGGTTATAGGTCTGGGAGAGACCTCCTGGATAAAGCACTCTACTATTGGAGGAAACCACAACATATCATCCTCTTCATAAATAAATCAAGCATGATCTTAGGTAGGGAGTTTGACCTGACTGTTCTGAGTAGAGGATTGTTCCAGACTGTTCAGAAACCAATTGCAAGATTAAAAAAAGAGAAAGAGGAAAAAAAGGCTTTATAATTATGGAAGTAAAATGTCCGAAGTTTAAAAAATAACCCTTAATTTTGTTGGGTATTTTGCATATCAGCTTTGGCAGATTCTATCTTCAAATGCCCTGGTTTTATCAAAAATCAAAGTTTGACACATATGGAAACGAATGAGAAACTTACAGTGAAGTGGAACATGGGCTGACTTCTTCCTTCTCCTCCCATCCCCACCTGAAATCACCCTGATCAATAAAAAAAAAAGGGGAGGGAATCACCCAACTCACCCAAATAGTATCTACCATATGTTTCCTAAACCCAGCTTTATTTTTATCTGGTGTCAGCTTTCAAAATGTTTGTCAATAGATCAAGAAAATCTAATGCTGAAATTACTTCTCTTCTTTTTCTCCTTACTTTTTCTTCAAATATTCTAAAATTAAATGAATCACTGGGAGAGATCAAAGTACAATTAGATGTCCAGCTCAAATTGTTGCCTACCAGTGATCTCCAAATTCCTTCAAATTGCCTACAGTTTCACCCTTTCAGATATTTGTTTTATCTAAAATGTGAACTCTTCACAGCCTAAGGAAACCCCCCTGGTAACCATTTCTTTCAAAATTTTAGTCCATGAATGATGGTTAAGTGTCATTCCTTGTCCTTTTATGGGATAGCAGAATAGACAAGTCTGTGACTGAGAGAGAATCATAGAAAATTTGTGTTGGAAGGGACCACAGGAAGCCATCTAGTCCAAACTCCTGCTCAAAGCAGGACCATCCCCAAGTAAATCATCCCAGCCAAACCTTTGTCTAGCTAGGTTTTAAAAACCTGCAGGGATGGAGATTCGACAACTTCTCTGAGTAACCTGTTTCAGTGCTTTACTACCCTCCTAGTGAGAAAATTCTTCCTAATATCTAACCTAAACTTCCCTTGCTTTGACTTGAAACCATTGCTCCTTGTTGTGTCATCTGCCACCACTGAGAACAGTCTAGCTCTACCCTCTTTTGAACCCCTGTTCAGGTAGTTGAAGGCTGCTATTAAGTCCCCTCTCAGTCTCCTCTTCTCTGGACTAAATAAGCCCAGTTCCCTGAGCCTCTTCTCATAAATCATGTCCCCCAGCCCCTTCACTATTTTTGTTGCCCTCTGCTAGACTCTCTCCAATTTGTCCACATCCTTCTTGTAGTGGGGGGCCCAAAACTGAACACAGTACTCCAGGTGTTGCCTCACCAGTACTAAATAGAGGGGAATCATCATTACCCTTGATCTGCTGGCAACAGTAGGTCACTTTCTTACCAGTGCAGCCCAGTATGCTGTTACCCTTCTTGGCAACAAGGGCACACTGCTGGCTCATATTCAGGTTATTGTTCACTGTAACCTCCAGGTCGTTTTCTGCAGAGCTGCTGCCCAGCCAGTCAGTCCCCAGCCTGTACCGGTGCATGGGATTGTTCCATCCTAAGTGCAGGACTTTGCACTTGTCCTTGTTGAACCTTAGGAGATTTCTTTTGGCCCAATCCTCCAACTTGTCTAGGTCACTCTGACTCCTAGCCTTACCCTCCAGCATATCTGCTACTCCCTCCAGCCTGGTGTCAGCTGCAGACTTACTGAGGGTGCACTCTAGGCCATCTTCTAGGTCATTGATGAAGGAAGACATTGAACAAAACTGGCTCCAGGACTGACTCCTGGGGCACTCCACTTGACACCAGCTGCCAACCAGACACTGATTACTACTTTCTGAGCCCAATGCTCTACCAGTTTTCTATCCCTCTTAGAGTCCATTCATCTAGCCCATACTTGCTTAAAATTTCCTCATGCCCTCCTTTCCTGGCTGAGACTCTGGGGCTACATCCAGACTTGAACTCATAATCTACCCACCAGGAGCTCAGCACATAAACCCATAAACTAGACAACAAGACCATAATTCCTGCAGCTCCCAGGGCTGGTTCTAAAGGCTCACACCAGCCCTTGAACTCATACCCTTAGGCTTCTCAGGTCATTTCATAGGGCTCTGTAATACTTCTCCTATAACATGACTCCCAGGAATGGTGGGGCACTAGACAGAGCTAGGAGAAAGACAGGAATTCAATCTCTCAGGAGACTGAAATCCTCAAGTGCGAACCCCTAGTAAGCAGACCTAGCAAAGTGGTATAGCACTTCTATGAACTGTCTTTATAAAGACACCATGGATTGTTAATACAAAGAGGATGCTGTCCCACATTTTCAGGGGGTCCATCTAAGACAGAAGCTATGTCTGTTAATTGTCTGATGTAGAATACCTTGCTAGGGTCTTTTGTATAAAGTACTACAGTGTTTAGAGTTACTTTGGATTGGAGCTTCTGGGCATAATGTAAGTATTAAATAATATCCATTTGGTAAAATTATTGAGCTCTGAATCCGCTGAGGAAAATATTTTTTTCTCTTTCTGTAGCCTTAAAATGGAGCAATCTAACTATAGCTACTTCCACAGCATGAGACATCTTGTACATGCAAAATTATACAATTATGAATGTTTAGATTAGTTTATATGATTGACTGATCATCCTTAAGTACTTAATGCAACCATTCAGCAAATTACACTAATGTATGAAATACCCATTAACAAATAATTTCTTATAGGTTTGTTTGCTATTTTCTCTAACAGCTGCATTATGTTTGTCAATACTGGGGAGTAGATCATGATTTTCCAAACTCTTTATTTCATAGGTTGGTGAGACCAGATGCAAAAAAGTTTGCACTTCGAAATCTGATCTGAGATCCAATGATTTCAGCATCGTTGGAAGTTTGCCAAGGGATTTTGAATTATCAAACTATGATTGTTATGGAAAGCCCATTGAAGTCAACAATGGGCTTGGGAAATCTCAAGCCAAGAACAACAAGAAACCTCCCCCTCCCAAACCCGTCATTCCATCAGCAGCAAAACGAATTGATCTTTATGCAAGAGCACTGTTTCCTTTCTGCTTCCTGTTCTTCAATGTCATATACTGGTCTATATATTTATGATAAATCTTTTATTTTTTTCATTTGTGTAATATATATCCCATTTCATTACTCTCTTTCCTAGTCATGAAGGCCACTCTGTGAAATTATTTGCATTTGCAAAACAATATATTGCATTTTAGATGCCATGTGATTGTACTGAAAATACGGCATCTTAACTTTGAATGACAGCATGACACTGCAATGTCTGTGCTCTGCCGAATCGTTGTATATAACTGTACAGCATACATCCTGCTTTAGGAATATATGAAAGGCAATGCATTCATTATAAAGCCAGATAATTCTCTTCAGTTATTAGTACCATACAAAGATTTAAAGTGTTTCTGATAATGAAATTGATGTGCACGTTGAGTATTATTAAAATCAGTATTATAATATATGTAGTATTTAAGAGCTCTTCTCATGGCTTTTGGGAAAAAAAAAAAATCTTGTTCCTGTATAATTTTAGATGGCACCGTTGAAGAACAAGCTAAGTTGTAATTCATATTATTTAAAGTTTGTAAGTGGAGGAAGTATTGATAAAGCTGATCTCTTCTGTGTGGAAAAATAAAGAACAGAGAATGACTAGTTTTGTAAAATCAGCTCATTTAGAAAAAAAAATATGCTGCATCCTTCAAGCTAGCATACTTCAAAGATGTGAAGTTATGATGGTAATAAATATTGGGCCAAATTTTGGCAGCCGTCACCACAGGCACAAGTTAGAAAACCTGTAGACAGAGAGGAAATGTAAGGTAGGGTCTTCCCTGTTTCTATATGATACCAAACAAATCTATAAACAGGTTGGTCTCCAGGCTGTAGGCCACAGGAGGTTTGGAGAAATATCACAGGATAGGGCCTAAAATTTCAGGTTGCACTGTGTATTTTCACATGTTCTTGTTCTCTTACTCAGTTGAAGAAACATTTCCATGCCTGTGATACAGAAGAATCATAATTTATTTTTCATCTGATCTGGTGTGTCTGTGTTTGCAGACACTGAAGTTCAAAACTCTTGAGTTTAAATGAACCAGTTGTTTCCATAGTTAATTCTCACCTTGACTCATACTCAAGGTTTGCATTTGCATTTGGCCAAGCTTGTGCATGTTAGCACAGCTGACCAAAAATATGATCTAAGAGTCATAATGAAGGGGAAAATTGTTTGAAGGACAAAGAGACTGCAGCCCATAAAAAAAGTCAAGATTTCCTGTCTGGAGGCCAAAGAGGTAGTTGTAATGTCTGCCTTCACCAGCCCATTTATACTGCTGCTTCCTTTTGGAAACAAAATCCTATCTGTAATAAGGGTGTGACAGACTGGAGGTCTGGTGAGAGACTGCCTTTGCTCCCTAGACCCAGTCACTTGACATGGTTAGGATTATAAAAATATAATAGTCAAATATGTAGTGTAAGGATCAGTACCCATGGATTTCTGTGGCCACTACGACACTGCCCTTTGTGAAGTGATAGCAGAGACCATGGACAGGTGTCACATTTGTGCCAGGAGGAATGCCCTTCTTCCAACACTAAAAGAGTGTACAGCTGTTCAAGTTTCTTTGTGGAGGATAATGGGCTCTTCCATGAAAGCATGAGAGCACTTCCCATCCTCTGTCAGGGATCCAGGGCCCCAGGTTGCCCACAGTGATGAGGAGGCAGCTACAGGCTGGAATACCTATATGCTCCCCCTCTCTCCAGGTTTTCCAGCCCTGCAAATTTCGCAGATTTGCTCTTCCTAGCCTGAGTAGCTACCTTCACATAATACACAGGGACTTTCCTAAGGTCGGAGTACCGTTTCATTGGGTTGAGACAAACACATTTCCTTTTATGTAACTAGGGTATGGTTGTTAGTCAAAATATTAAATGGAGACAGCTCCCACTACTGGGTGCCATACAAAAATTAATCTGTGATCAATCTTCTGTACAAGGTAAAAATAGGAATTTGAGGGGGGGGGAAATAACTGGATATTCAAACTAAATCTATGGCAGTCCCTTTTCAAGGAGAAACAAGTCAAATAACCTTTGTTGAGACAAATGTCTTTTTCATGCGGGACGTGTCTGAAACCTGTGGGACAGTCTGGACCATGGGAGAAATCTCACATGGCATCTTGTAATTTGGAATGCAGTTTTTGTCCCAAATTTCAATTCAATCTGGAGCCTAGATACTGCACAGAAAGAGCAAAAAGAAAGTTCACAAATTCTTCATTTGGCCTTTCATGCACACACACACACACACACACACACAGTGTGTGCCAGTGGTGATAGCTGCTTGCGCACGCACACACACAAGCTCTTCCAGTTTCAAATCAAAGGTTTACTCTTCTGATTAGCAATTCACTTGGTGTCTCCTTGAGACCTATACACTGTCTGAGCACACAAGAATTAAATTATTTTTGGATAGTCTTAGGTCTTCTGTCAAAAGTTCTAATTGATTGCTCTTAAATTACAAATCACAATACGTATAGTAGATTATTGGTAATTTTTTTAGGAACAATCTATAAAAGGTCTAAAAAGTTCTGTCATTAAGGATATGGATATTCAATTATCCTCTGTCTCCCTTGTCTGTAGTTTCCAAGGGTCTGTTTACATAGGCAACCAGAATTTAGCTTCAAAGGGAAAGCCAAATATTGCTGGACACTTTGGTACTTAAAACCTTGACTGGGGGGGGGGGGGGGGGGGGGGG